TGTATCGAACAAAATGGTTATGCGGCCCGCGCTCATCATTCTCTCAGTTATCTGGCCCGTTGTGAAAAAAGTTCGGTGACCTCTGCCTTAGTCTTATAAATAATACCACGGCCACTGTTCGTGCCTCCACACACCCCATCTAGTGAGAAAAAACTTCAAACATCAGTCTCCCACATATCGTATATTGCGACTATTTATCTGGTGTAATTCCTATTCTGTTCAATTTAGGAAGTTGTTCTACAATTTCTGGATACCCTGTATAATTTTTCCCTTCCAACTTTTTGTCCCTGAAGTCCATAATTTGCCAAAAGCAAGTTTTATGTAATAATAACAATAAATGTTTAACAAATTCAAGCTTTATGGTACTGAAAATTTTAATAAAAACAAAACAAACAAAAAAACATTTAATATCTAATGTGAACATCTAACATGTTCAAAACCAGCTAAATTGGAATAAAGAAATCAACCATATAAAAATGCAATAAAAGAAAAGACCCAAGTTATATAAAAGGACAAACTCCGTAACGATGTAACGAATAAGTGGATAAGTTAAACAAGAACAAAATCAGGAATGCTTAGCCCTTTTTAATATACAAATGGAAAAGCGCAACATGAATATAAAAAGAAAGCCAAGTATTTAATGTATATGTGGTTTTGGAGTTGAGTCCTTTATAACTCACCAAATAGTAAGCTAAATTTATTTAGGTCTGTGAGTAATATTATGGAATTGCGCCTACTTTATTAATTCGATATTATACAGCGGAACAATTATTAAATGATTATATCACAGATTTCATTTTCTTTTCACCAAAGGTAATTTTTTTGAAAATGTAATCTGTGATGTGAAGGCCTAATGTCTTCTTTGATTCACTGCACTCTCTGCTGCGGATTGCAGTTTCGCCTAGTCACTTAACAATTGGTGCGTTGTATAATATCGCCTAATAAGCTAGACGAAATGTCATAATATTATTTACACACCTAAATTGATTTAGATGACTATGTAGTGAGTTAAAAAGAACTCAAAAACCTCATAAATAATATATACACATTACTATTATAAGAAGCCTAACTGCATTTTTTTTTTTTTTGTTTGCTTACCAAAGCTGTGGTGATAGGCCTTAAATAGGCGAATATGCAGTCTACAGGAGAGGATGCGGCGAATAAAAAAATTGGGTCCTTACATCACAGATTACGGGGTCAAATTACTTAATTTTACACTAAATTTTGGAAGCATTGTCGTTTAATATGATTAGATTCTACTTTCTGATATTACATCTTTATATGGCCAACCCCTTTATTCTTAAATATTATTTTTGTGCATATAGGATGTTCAAATTCTTTTTATACGTTTATGGTTCAGATCGTATATTTAATATCATTATCTCTAAATTCCTAATATTCGCTAGCGACATCTATGTTTAAGTAATATACTTAAGAAGAAATAAACTTCATTTCTATTGCCATTGGGAAAAACAAAGACCTTGAGCAATTGTTGGCCAATTATACAGTAGGAACCAATGGTTTCCGATCACCCTAACATTGCCTAAAATTAGTGATTTGCTGTAGATATTTAAACAAAGTTATAGTATTTGATTTTTGTTTTTCGGTAATTTAGAAAGCGTTGTAAAATGACTCTTGAAATTTTCACTGATAAGTGGAGGTTCAAACATAATGAAATTATAGTGTTGTGAAACTCACATGAATACTTGATAACTTATAAACATCGCAATTAATTTAAAATATTACTTGATATAAAATGACTTTATACATCACATAAAAAGATATTAATTCTTTGACACCCTTAATGCATATTTACCTTTCTCAAAGTATTTTAAGATGAATAAATCAGTATTTTTAAACAATGTTTGTTTACTAAATCTTATAATTGGTCCTTGTATATTTGAAGAAGTTATTGTGAACTTCCAAATTCAACTGCACACATTTATTAGTAGAGGTCGCTGGGGTGCGAGTATTCAAAGGACTGGAAAACGTTTAATAGTGCGCAAGGCTTATATTCTAAATAAATAAATAAAGTTTTCCCTAACCTATACTGTAATATATTAATCTGATTAATTATTTTCTTTGTGGCGTCTCTTAATATTTTAGATCAGAATAATGTACTGATTTCACCTAACCTTTTTTGAGTAGCCATGCATGGATTGAAAATAAGGGATACCTGATTATTATGGCAATTAGAGAGTTCAACAAGATAGTGGACAGGTGCTTATAAAACAGCTCGAGAGTTAATATGGTAATTTATGGCTAAAATAAAAACTACCCCAAAACATTATTATAACTGATTGAAATATTTCCGACATTTTTGAGCCATTACTCATTCAAAACAGTTTATGTTGACTTATAACTTTTACGACAATTATGTCATTAAAGATAATTTTCAAAAAATTAAGCCTTAATCAGCTTATAATGGAACAATAACTATTGTTTTAATGCCATTTAAACGTGTATTTATTAATGTAGAAAAACAAACTTACAAGCTGAAGTACCACGTTAAGATATAAGGTTTTATTAACCCACAAGCTTACCAGCTTTTTAATGAGCTCTTTGACAGATGGAATTACAACAATAAATGAAAAAAAAACTTTTAAAATTTATATATATATATGTGTGTATGTATTTACCAGTAAAATTATGAATGATACTTCCAGATTAAAAATATGTTCATTACGAGCTTAACATCTGACTAATTGGAATATTGTAATTGTAAGAAATTTAAAATATATTGTGTTTAATAATTTATTTTGTTTAAGTCGCTTTTGAAAACTATTACTTTGAGGGTCTCTATTCAAGGAGATTTGTTTATTCGCCCTTCTGATTGGATCCATAATTTACTCTCGGCAATGACGTCACAGACTATAGAACTTGCTTGCCACATCGAGAGAACTCAGAATCTGTGCCAAATGCGTAGCTAACAACTTAATACTAGTACTGTCGTAGATTGGACGAAAGTTTTCCTTGTTAAGACGAGTTTAGTGGATAAAATTTTTAAATTCGTAAACTCTCTTGTGGCTGACAAAGTGACAGCCATCAAGTTTTGGATGTAAATGTTTCATCGTTCTACAACTGTACACGTGTGTTATTAAGATAAAAGTCAAGACCGATGTTGGAACTTTTCCTAAAACAAGATGACGTAATGTAAACCTGTAGACTTCAGAATTTGTTTCTCAGCCAATAACAACAAGCTCGAGGAGAACCTTACTGGATAGACCGAGTCGAGCTAGTGTGTCGATCCGTCACTCGCAGGTTCAATTTTTCTAGCAGTTGTGTTAAATTACGTCGCGCCCTAAGAAGCGACTTGAAAGAGTGGCAGCATAACGATGACAATAAGGTAAATGTAAATTTGTTTTTAAGTCTGTTAGGGTCATGTTGCAAAGCATGTGTTAAACTAGGAATAATATATTGCGTGAAATATAAGTATATTAAAAAATAACAGAATAACTTCAAGCGTTTAACTGTGTAGCAACAAAACACACAATAATTGGCACACGCAAAAGAGGTAAGCCTTACAAGTTGTACTGTTGACAGCGTTGTAGACAGCCAAGATAAAGCATAGGGTGGAGTTAGAATACGAGACTTGTAAACGAAAGTAGGACAAAAGAAATGCAAAAGTTTCTAGAAGTTAAAATACAGGCTATGATGACACTGTAGTTTCAGCAATGAAGTATCACATTTGTAAAGGATATAATTAAAAAGCATTTAAAATATCAAATTGTCAGCAAGTGAAAAACTGGAGTTTCTTGTGGATCCATCTACGTCTCTAACTGCAACTTATAAATTAAAACAGCACTTTTAATTATAAACTCCATGAAAGTAACATGAATTCATATAACTTGCTAGGTAAAATGTGAGCAAAAGCCAGAAGGATGGTTAGACAGGTGCACAAACGATAATAGTTTAAATATAATTTATAAAGTTTAAGAAAAAATAGACGTTCACTATATATATATATATATGTACATATATACTTACTTCAAGTTATAAATTATATATATGTATTATCAATCTCTTAATCTTTGTAATTGTAACCGAGGTACGTGTAAATGTGTTAAAAAAGCGCTTTTACGGTGAAGAAAAGGAGTGAGCCCTTAGAGTTAGAAGTCGTACATGTTACTTAAAATATTCTTGCAAAGTTAAAAGTGAATAAGTATATTTGAACTCATATAAATGCATATCTTTATATAATTCAAACAACGGAGCACTTCCTAATCTATGATGTTGATAGTAACGGATTTATTTTTTACCTCTTTTAATGTTAGGTAGCATTGCATAGTGTTAGTTCAATAACTTCTACACAATTCACTACACTATCGTTATACTTATAGAATTTGTTGTTTTTATTAGAAATAGAAAAGAGTTAATAATAGTAATGATATTATAGGCCTAGTCAGCACAACATCATCCATCTTATTACTCATGTAGTCTATACACTTATAATCAGAACTACATTACTCACTTTTACTGTATTCTGTAGGAAAACTCCATCACTCCTTGTCTTACACATTGTAAACTGACGCACCGTGATTCAAAAAATGGCGTTATTCTAAAAGATAGCCTAACTAATTCAACACTACTCCGAGTCTGTTGTGCTCCATTATTAAACGTTAGGGTTAAGTTTAAAGAGGAGTGCACCCATGTTAAATTATTAAAGAACAATCTAATTAAATGCTTGTATATTTATCACATACTTTGAAAATTAAACATTTAATAATCCATGGTTATATTTTCGGAAATATACGAAGTAACCTAACTACTTAATTAGAATATCAACTTGCAGAGTTATATTTGATAAAAGATTAAGTAATTACACTAATAACTACGTAAAAAGCATCAAAAGCCGTGGTTTATTTCAACCAGATGTTTTTAGAATGTACAATATACACGAATGAGTACAGAATGTTATACTGTTATATACGGTGCTTTCAACTGGATTTTATTTGGGTTTGTTGATAAATAAATAAGTTTTTATTTTATTTTTTTTTGTAAATTAGGAGAAAAACGAAGAATATTTGCAGAGATTAACCTTTTTATTTTTAGGTTTAATATTTCGCCATGACAGTTTCTTCAGAAGTCAACGGCTCAATTGTGAAGAGAGCCTCTGAAGGAGCTGTCATGACTAAATATTAGGCCTAAAATTATTTATCCTAATTTTGAAAATGGCTTACACACTCCAGTTAACTTTCCAAATATCAAAAGACAGATAAGTAAATTGCATAACTAAAAGTAACCATTTGCTTAACTATTTTATGATAACGATTATTACTTCGTCCAGTTGCACTCGGTTATACTGTATACATAAATAGCGAAGCTAATTTATATCCGAAAGGTTTACCCTGTTATGCTATCTTAAAGTTAAACTTCAAGCAGAGTCGGCTTTAGCAATTTTTACGGCCAGTGTATAAAAGAGTTGATGCCAACACCATCCCACCCCACCTTTCTAGCGCTTCTCTCCAAGGAGAGTAATTACAATACTACATACAGAATTACGACTATGGAGTGGATTACAAGTACAATACAAAATAGGCTGTTTGTGTAGGCTATACCATTAAGATTTTTCTGTCAGCAAGATTATTTATTAATTCTGTGTAATCAAACTTCTTTTAAATTTCGTTTTCTATTGACACCATACCCAGCCCTTCCTAAGACATGGTAGGTAAGTTTTAATTAAATTTAGTTTAGAAAAGCCCCTGTTTTCTTCAGCAACAGTAACTGGGATCATATGCAGTATTCTATGGACACATCTCTGTGGAAACATCTCTGTTAAGCGTTTTGGGTGAACATAACAGTTACTTTGGCAGTAGTTGCATCTCAGCCATCGTTCGAAGCTCTTGAACATCTCTACTCCATGTACATCACTTAAATTATTATGTGTCAAAATCTGTTGCAGGTTATTTCAACACACACACTTCTATTGAAATTGAATCAATCTCATAGAGGAATTCAATATTGGCTACAATCGACTTCTGTTGATGGAACCTTTCATCATTATATTCTTTAGTTCTGATAGAGGTAGGGTATTTTTTAGTTAATTTGAAAAAGTAGCTTAGTTTGTTTATTTTCTTTTTTTCACCATTTTTCCCCATTAGCAATTTATTTTGATGTCCAGTGCAGTTGCTGGACCTGACTTCAAGCCTCAAAATCTGTTGTTTATTTACACTAAAATATTCACCACTGTTTCCTATCAAAGGCCTTCAGTATTCACCGATACTCTCTTAACGTACTTACTGTTATATAATACACAGAAATGGGCCTTAATTCTACTCTCTTTTTTTCTAATATTAACGGTAATAGTCTTTATAATTTATTTTAGACCTATAATATCACCGCTTTATTAGAAGTGCAAAACTGTAATACATAATCAAAGATAAAATGGTCAAAAAGTGCTTTTATTTTAAAATAAAAACAATGTCACAAGATTTTATTACAAACTAGCGTATAGCCCGTCAAAAACGACGGGGCAAGTACTTTTTATTATTATTATAAACGTTGGTGATATAACAGAAAATAGTCTAATTCAGAAATGATTTAAGCTTAAAATTGAACCAATATTTTTACTTTCATGATAAATTTTATGCACTTGGGTCTAGGCTAAGTGATTCCCACACTACGTCTTTACTTTAGGCTTATTATACCAACACTCACTACACTTATAAGGTTTCACGTCACACACCCTCACGGCCCCCTTGCATGCCCGTCACTAAAATCGTAATGGGCAGGCAGTAATCGAA